AAAAAAAAAAAAAAAAACCACCTTCTAGTTTATTATTTTCTTTCAAAGATGAATCCGACGGTCTGCTGTTTATTCTCATTATAATTGAGCCAAAATGTCACCTAAACAATGTAAACTATTGCCATGATTGTCTCAAGACTCTCAACAGTCATCAGCAATTCATATATATGTCGTGTTACCTTAAGCAAATATTCTAATGAAGACTTGCGTAAATCTAGCAAAAGCTTCCCTTCCTGAGTTGCTACATCCCTCAAATCACAAGGTTTCAACAAAGAGATCACCTCTCGAGTGAGTGAAAGAGAGAGTGAAGATGTATGACCCGATATTTGCTAGAAGCTTTAACCGTTATGAGTGGAAAAGATTTGGATATTATGCGTTTGTGGTATGCCTTGCTCTTATATTAAGCATTTGCACAGTATTCAAACCTCATTTACAGCCTCCATCAGTTTGTAAGTTCTCACTTCTTGATAATAACAAAGCAAATTTCATTAGGATAGTGTTTTATTGTTTTTTCCGACAAAAAAAAGTTTGCTGCATTATGGTTAAAGTCTGTTTAAATTACTCTCATTTCTCAGTGGATGTATGTTCAGCTATTTATTTTTGATTAAAGTTCACGAGCCGTTTTTAGAACGCAGAAATGTGTACAGTTCGCACCAAAATCGCTTCAGTATTTATGTGTTTGCACTGTGTTTCACTTTCTTGGCTTTATTCCTTAATACACAAAGAGCCTTGATTGTGCAGTATTTATCAGGCCACTCCAAAAATATCATTAGTTGCTACGTTTTGAGCCTTTAAGGCTTGTTCTTTGTGTTGTTTTTTGTGATATCAGCTAATCCCTATGGATTGCAGAAGTTTTTCGTTATGATTTCCTGCTAAAAGACTATATTTCAGGGGATTCATTTCAATCTTCTCTTTTCTTCAATTACTACTGCAGTGAATTTGCAATCGCCAATCAATTCTGGTCTAGACCAGCTACTTGTCAATGACACAAGCATCTCCGAATCATCAAGCATGCATGCTAATACAGAACAAGACATGCCGAGTTCTGCACTAGACCAGCTAATTGTCAGTGACACAAGCATCTCCGAATCATCAAGCATGCATGCCAATACAGAACTATACAAGCCGAGTTCTGCAGTTAAATCTAGCACAAATTCGGGTACAGTAATGATAGTGATCCACCATATGCATTCAATTGATGCTAAGTTATAGATTGCATCTGTATTGTATTATATATGAATAGAAAGTTATTTTAATCTTGCAGAGGTCGAAACAAAGGAAATTAAGCCCATATGCAGCATTTCAGAACCAATATCAGATTATTGTGAGATTAAAGGAGACATAAGGATACAAGGGAGTTCCTCCACCATATTTGTTGCTTCATCTAATTCGAGCATTTCATCCGGGAATAGTTTATGGACTATAAGACCTTATGCTCGAAAGGGAAATGCAGGAGCAATGGATCATGTTAAAGAATGGACTGTAAAATTGGTAGACAGTCAGGAGGGTATGCCCAACTGCACTGTGAATCGCACTACTCCAGCCATCCTTTTCTCTCTTGGAGGATACTCGGGGAATCATTTCCATGCTTTTTCTGATTTGGTGATTCCTCTATTTTTAACTTCTTGGGAATTCCATGGTGAAGTAAATTTTCTTGGAACCGATTACAAAACTTGGTGGATTAGCAAGTTTAAACATCTATCTGATCACCTAACGAAACATCCAATTATCGATATTGACAGAGAAAAAGATATCCACTGCTATCCAAGTGTTCTTGTTGGCCTCAAATGTCACAAAGAACTTGGCATTGATCCATCAAAATCTCCAAATGGTCTATCCATGAAAAATTTCAGGCAGTTCTTAAGAAGCGTCTATTCATTGAATAGAACTACTGCCCTCAAAATGAAAAGAGGTAAAGATGAAAAGCCTCGCTTAATGATCATATCAAGGAAAGGATCGCGATTACTGTTGAACGAAGGGAAAGTTACTGAAATGGCCAGAAAGTTGGGTTTTGATGTAGTTGTCGCGGAGGCAAAACATTCCACTGATTTATCAAAATTTGCGGAAATTGTGAATTCTTGTGATGTTTTGGTGGGAGTCCATGGAGCTGGGCTTACCAACATGGTTTTCCTCCCGGACAACGCAATTGTCATTCAAATAGTTCCTTTGGGAATCGATTGGTTTGCGAAAAATGACTTTGGTGAACCTGCACTTTCCATGAACTTAAGATATTTGGATTACAAGATAAGCGTAAAAGAGAGCTCTTTGATTAAAGAATATCCAGTTGATCATGCAGTTCTTAGGAACCCATTATCACTCCAAAAACAGGGGTGGAATGTAATTAAATCAACATACTTGGATAGACAGAATGTAGAGCTCAATGTGCGTAGATTTAGAGCCACTTTGTTAAAAGCTTTAAAGTTTCTGCATCACTAGCTTGTGTCATCAATTTTTTTCTATCTCCATTAAATTGGGTCGCCTTTCTTGCTCTTTCTTTTGTAACATTTGAGGTTAAATGAACAGTATTTCAAGGAAGATATTGATGAATGTTCATCATGACAAGTTTGGAAGTGTAGAACATGGAAACTTCTTTTTGGGGTGGAAGGTGTTTTTTTCCTCTCTTGGGGAATCGAACCAAATACTCCTCGTTCGGATTCATGACTACTAAGCAAACACCCATCATTCGGACTTGGTCACTGGAAAGATTGAATACATATTTCAATGACACAGGGTCCACACAATTCACCAACGCATAAATTATTTATATCGAACATTTGCATTTGGAACAATGCAAAATGAATTTAAGTAATTGAGGGGATAATGTGAATAATCAATAGTTCAAAGGGTAAAGGAAGATTGAATCTATAGTTAAGAGGGTCAAAGTATAGTTTCCCTTCTTTGTAACCACAAAGAAGTTTCTTTATTCAACTATAAGGCTCATCCTAGCTTACCTAGTTTGAAGGCAGCAGTTTGATTATCTCACTTCAATTACATGATATTTCAATTAAATTTTGTGCTCCCAGTGATGCCTTGCAGCCACTGTATAGATTTCAAAATTTTCAAAGACATAATATTGTTGGCTATTTATAATAATAAAAACTATAATTAAGCTAGAAAACATAATATTGAACAAGAATTTCAGAAAATAACCCTAACAAAATGGAGAACACAAATTCCAAATATATGCTAAAACATGAAAGCGGGATTTGCATTGGTCATCTCATTCGAACAAACCATCTAGAGACCATCGAAGTAGCTCATTCAAACCAGATTCGAGCAAATACCTAATGAAACTTACATAATTAGCCTCAAAGAAAAATAGAACAACCTTGTTCAAGCAGTAGTGATTTCGTTTGAATTGTATGCCAGAACACCATGGTTATGCATGACACATCACATCTACAAAAAAGGAATGGAAAGGAAAATAATTTTTTATGTGGACAAAATAATGAAAAAATAATGTTTGTTTTGTCACCTCTCCTTAAAAACGTTACCTCTTGTGTCTAACACTTCTTAAATGTTTGTAAGCTTTGCATATCCATTACGTCTAAATGTCTGAGATACAAGTTATAATAATAATATATAATTCTCTCCTTACCAACTCTGTTTTTTTTTTTTTGGTCAATTAATATGGCGTAACCATAAAACGTTGAATGATTACCATTGATTCAACGGTCTACATGGAATCAATAAAAAAACAGTATAACCTTAATGCTTTACTTGAACTTAATTTACTAATTTTATTCACTCTCTATCGTTGAAATGCCAGAGGCTTCCCACTATTTCTTGGGACTTGCGATCAATTTAATAATTATGAGGTATTAGATCAATAAATTAAGTTCAAATAACAATTTCCGTTTATTTAACATTCCTTAAAAAGTAAATTAGTGATCCCATAAACAATGAGCACCACATGGACAATAATGTGAAGCATGTAAAACCTACTATACATGGCGAAGTGGTGCAATCTGAAATGACCACCGGTCTTGAGTTGAAAGTAAAATTTAAAATATAATGAGAAAGATTTGGAGTTATAACACAAATAAATCCCTCACCGCTAACTATCGTATTGCTTAATAATGCCACCTAATATTGAGTTAGCATTGGTGATGGAACTAGAAAGTGAGACCTATTGTGTATAACTGTATCCCTTACTAATACATAATGAATGATTTAGCAAAGAGAAAAATGAAAGAAAAAAAGTATTGGAACATATATGAAATCATTCAAACCTATATAATTTGAGTATGCTATAATTAACACCAGCACAATAACTGGATTTTCAAAACTTTTAGGGGAGCAATCTCCCTCGTCCATCACTAGATAGCATGATGATATAGGTGCATTCTCCAAACAAGTACTCTACCTTGACCATAATGTCAATGGTTTTGGTGAGATGCACTTTATTTGTATCTTCATCAAATGAGGTCAATCGATTTTGTTCAAATGCTTGAACATTTTGGTGAGATGCAGACACACTCTCTCTCTCTCTCTCTCTATATATATATATATATATATATATATTCACAAACACAATTGTTGCCTATATTTAACTGGGGCAGTTTAGAACCTAGGGACTTGTATTTTTGAGTGACAGTTCTTCTTCAACAACTCTTCTAACTCTTATGTTCTAAAACATAATCAAAATTTAATGGAGAAGGAATCATTCATTATTTTTCAAGCTGCACACGTTTTCTTTTGGAAAGAGACAAAATTGAAAAAACCACAATCAATTTTTTTTTATTCAATAAGTTTCACACAAGATTGTTAAAATGTCATACTCTACACCAACCCACTTGGCTGGACCCCTCGACCATGCAATGCAACCACCACTTTTAAATGCAAGGACCTTTCATAGGCTATGACTATGTAATTTTCTTCCACTCTTTCCGAACTCAAACGAGTGGACTCGGTAAACGGCCAACCACCAACATCCCACTTTCACAAGCTTCCTCCAATAATATCATCACTTCACGGTTTCTTACATTAGAGTTGACAAAATTATGCCAATAGACTTGCTTTAGTCACCCATTTGGGTAAATAACCGTACTTCTCCATTCAACAATAACAATAATTTATATCAATATCTATACGAAGTCTAAATATTAAAAAAAATTAATTTCTTATTTTATCTTTAATTATTATTACAAAGTTAATAATATCCACATATTACTTTCATCCATTTTTTTACTTTTTATACCTTTTTAATTAATATAGTTTTTGACTTTTAAATTTTTTATTACTTAATTACTTTCATCCAATTTGTATTTTCTATACGTACTTGACTTCTATGCTCTTTTGGGCTCTTTTATTAACTGTATTATTTATAAATTTTTTTGAACTCATTTTATTAGTAGTACATTTGTATACAATTTTTTATATCTACTTCTATATTTATATGAACAATAAAGTCCAATCTATATTCTGTTATTATATACATATAGTTGTCAATTTGGATTCCATAGTTAAATATATGTCATATTTAATTTTTTAGTAGACAACGACATAACATTATTTGAATATAAACAATAGTATTATAATTTAATTAATCTCTTTACCAAAAAATTTAATAAATATAAATACTCAATAATAATAATCTTACAATGAAACTTTGTTATAAACAAAAGAAGAAATGTCTAATGACATTTTAACAATAACATATTAGATACTCAAAGAGAGGTGAAATAAATTAATAATTAGGCTTAGTAATAATTAAAATAAGAATTAACTATTCAACACATTATTTATTATTCCATTTAATTACATATATAATTTAATTTTTTTATAAAAATATATTATTTAAATATGTTAACATACATGATGTAAATGTTAGTACTAATAAAAATAACAACAATAATAACAACAACAATATTTACTATTAGTGCCAAAGTTGCATTAGGATACATAGGTATGCCAAGTGTACTGTAGCTTATGCTTTGTTTGGTAGGAATGATGAAAAGTAGGAAGACTAGAAAGTAGTAGGGATATAATTTTTATCTTTGAAGGAAAGAAAATAGGAATGATACACTTTTCTTCCTTTGTGTTTGGTAGGATAGATGAAGAATAAAAATAATTAAATTTTTTTGGGAGAATTACACCCAGACCCTCCCAAGGTTTGTCACTTAATCACTCAGATCTCCTAACATTTAAAATATTATATATAGATCCCCTGAAGTTTGTACGCGCGTAACACTTAGACCCCTGCAGTAAATATATCCATTAATAAATTACACTTAGATTCTCTTGAAGTTTGTAGGTATATAATACTTAGACCCCTTAAATTTAAAATATTATTTTTAGACCAAAAAATACTCTAATCAAAGATAGAATATCAAATATTTTAAATTTTACAACAAAAATTCCTATTCTATTGTATTATTTATTGAAATAAAATAAAAAATTATAATTAGTATACAATTATATTCCAATAAAAAACTAAAAAATCAAAGAAGGAGTTTAAGTCATTCATAATAGAACATAAATTTTACATCCAAAATTTATGTTCTATTATGTCATTTATTGAAATAAAATCAAAAATAAAAATCTAGTTTTTTTTTTTTAAAATCATAGTTAGTATATAATTATATTATCTATTAGAATAAAACTAAAATATTAAATAAGGGGTCAAATTGTAATAGACATAATATCTTTTAGCTTTACTTTGGATAGTTTGGTATTTTAATATGGTCGTTTAATTAAATTTCAATAGACAATATAATTGTATACTAATTACAATTTTTTAAGAAAAAAATTAAAATTTTATTTTTTATTTTATTTCAATAAAAAATAAATAGAACATGAATTCTAATTGTAAAATTTAAAATATTTAATATTTTATCTTTAATTGAAGTATTTTTGATCTAACTATAACATTTTAAACTTAAGGGGTCTAAATAATATATGTTTACAAACTTCAGAGGGTCTGGTTGTAATTTATCAACAAATATATTTATAGCAGAGTTCTAAGTGTTATGTACGTACAAAATATAGGGGGTTTGTGTGTAATATTTCAAATGTCAGGGGTTTGAGTAATTAAATGATAAATCTTAGGGGATCTAGGTGTAATTCTCTCTTTTTTTTGTGCTTGTTAAAATTAGAGGTGACAATCGAATTATTTCGTATTAGATTCATGTTAAACATTAGTCAAACTTAACTTAATTTATTTATTTCTGATTAAATCACGAAAAAACACTGACAAACATCATGAACCTAGAAAAAAAGATATACCACAAACTGCCTAATTTTTGGAATTCAAATTTTATGAGAATGATTTTGTATTGCTTACTAATTGAAAAAAAAAATTGATGTTTAATTAAACTTTTCACAAAATTACAGGGTAAGAATTTTGGAAATAATAAATTATTTCCAATAGAATGGGGGTGGGGTATGAGAGAATTATTTTTTAAATTCAAACAACTTGATCATGCTTTATTTTC